CAGCCTCTAGTTTGACATTTGAACTGTGTTACCTATGTGGTGTTTTTTGGTTGCAGACCTGCTTGCACTGGAGTGTCCCACTGCTGGCCCTTCCCTGCCAGAGAGCTCGATCAGCTGCTGCAACAATACTGAAACAACCAAGGAGTGGGTGCTCCGAAGGCTCCGACTACTTCGTAAACAGCACTGTAGGGTGGATGAACACATTAGTCTGCCTACTTCAATCAAGAAAGGTATGGTATCATCCCAGAATAAGCACAGATTGCATCATTCTTCTTTAAAATGTTTAAAGAACTGCATCCTATTCTGTATGTGGCTGTCAGTGTTCTGTGAGGCCTGCCAAGAGAGATCTGGACTGTATGGCAGGGTATCTGGGATGCTGCCAGTAAGGGTGGCCTCCTACATGCTCATGCCATACACACTTCCTGTACAGTCAGCATACTCAGTGGCCCAGAGGTAAGACAGAGGTCGCATCAATAACGGTATATCACTTTTAACCAAATGAGCTTTGAACTTAAAATTAGCTGGTGTCAAATCCGTGACCATTACCACTTTGCTTTGGACCAGGTTTGTAGAGTGGATCCCAGAGGTGCCCGCTGATGTCCGTTGGCTGTTTGAGGTGGCAGGTGATGTTTACAGACAGGCCTGGAAAGGGGAACAAGCCAGCGCTATGAGGTGACAGAAAATATGGCAAACAGAGTCATTTTCAAACAAACGTTAGAGGTTTAGCGTCAGACGCTTTCAGACATGTCCTCTTCATTTTTTTCTGTTTTCACTATTCTCATTGTGGAGTCCAGATCACCTCTCACTTCTATACATGAATCTTGTTTCCATTGCTTTTTGTACAGTGAGCCCTGCCTGAGGAAATGCCTGAGTGTTCCACCGCTATCTTCGGAGTGTGGGCCCAGTCAGAAAGATATCCCACCTGCTCTTTCCTCTGTCGAGCTCCACAGCAACTACTGGGAAATCCCCAAATCTGCCTTCTCCGCGTCTCATCAGAGCCATCCAGCCATCGATCCCTCCTCCCCACAGGATGTCTGCTTCTTTGTTGGCATCCAAGATGAACCATAGAGCGTTCACAACAGTCAGATGCTCCAGGACCTGAACTTTAACAGAAACACGGTCTAATGTCAGCTCTCTTGTTGAGACAAGGATGGATCGATGGATGGTAGAAATTTTAGCCAATACTCACTGGTGTGTATCTGTTTTTTACACTGACTCTGAACACTCCATCCAGTGCAAAGAGTATTGTACTTCTGTGATGTGTTTTATGACCTAAATCAGTGCGCAGCACAGTATGATATCTATCTACTTCCCTAAATATTTTTAGGTTTAAAATATGCATTCATAGGAACCATCCCAGTGCATTCAATGACAGCTTCTTTCTTTCCCTTCAAATATTGACTCTTTCTTCATTTCACCACGCTGATGGACTTGTACCGTTGAGTGATATGTCCAAGGTTTGTGGTCCCAATCACTAATTTAAAGTTTTTTTCAGTATATAATGATTTTAATTTTCTAAATAATTAATACTCCACAGAGTAAAACGGGTACCAAAGAAGGCGGAGCTACCGTGTGAAGGTGTCCTTTGGTTCTCAGTGCGATCAAATTCCAGAGAGACTGATTGTATTCAGTATAATGTGAAACTAGGGAGTGAGACCTCAAAGTCATCAAGAGTCTTTTTTTAGGTCATAGCTGAAAGCTGTTTTACTAAAAAGAGACTTTTTGCAACTACAGGGGTCAGTTTGTGGTGGCCTTTAAGGAGAATGCAAGTTTAAGGCACTTCCTTATTGCCTTTTAAACCTGAAATCTATTTATTATATATAAAGGCTCTAATATTACAAATCTTGGTGCAACAATCCTTAGCATTAATCCAGGTGATCTTTCCAGGATTTTTGAGTAAAACCAAGTTGTTCACTTAATTGGAACTTTTAACTCTTCGTCATTGCAGCTGTCTTGTATTAGTAAATTTCTACTGCATAAGGAGAGGCTATTTCACATGATTGGGCAGAGTTATGTGTGATGATGGGTCTGGGGTAAAAAAGCTGTTCCTGAGACTGGTTGCCTATTATTTGGCGACTCTTCTAAGCTGATGATGACCTGGATGTGATGAGTGTCTGAGAATGTTAGTGGTTCTGTTTTGGCAGCGGTGTCTGTAGATATGTTCAAGGGAGAGAAGAAGGCAGCCAAAGCTGTTTTGTGCAGTAGTAATGACCCATGCCCAAATTACTAGTCGGCCACTGAAACCTGATGAAAAATGTTTCTGCTAGAGAAAATGCACTGAAGCTGACATTTTCAGGTTAAAGGCTGGTTCTGGTCCTGGGCCAGCTAGGCAAAGGGGAATGCAATCAGTAGTACAAGTCACATCAGCCCATTGCTTCTGGCCAATAATGCAGTGCATAGGCTGAATGCTGATTGGCTGAAAGGAAGCGTAAACTGAAAAGGGAATGACCACAGCCTTAATCTGCAGTACAAAGAATTTCTTTGTGCACTATGAACTCTGTAATTCCAGCAAAAGGACCAACAGAACCACAAACAAGAGTGGCCCATGTTCCAGTTATTAAACAGTACATGTATGTTTTTATACTATAGCAGCAATGTCAAGTTGTTTGCATCTGCAAAGTGCTCTGTAGCACCGACACAGTACCATGCTGGAGCCAATACGTTCCATTTTTATAGGACAAACGCACAGTTTTAGCATGGATGAAGACATGGTCCAGTACACCACAAAACTTTACAAACTTTTAACACTTTAGACATTGCACAGGCACAGTATTCAGACATGCCATTAAACTGTCTTCTGTAGGCGATAATAACTCTCCCGTAACATATAATTCAGTGTTAAATAAGTAACAGTCGGCTGCCTGAAGCCCGCCATACAATAATGGCTTTTATATCTAAGTTGCAGCTCACTGTAAGTATAACTTTCAGGGTGACTGACTTGAAATGGAAAAGTAATGTTAAATATTGAGATGCATCTACCAAACAGCACAAGTCATGTTATTCACTTTCAAATCATTTTGAGCCGAAAGCCAGCGGCAGACCTTTGCTAATGGTTCCAACACTGAAGCTCAATAACTGCCATCAGATGTGGTTATTGCGCTTCTTCCTCTGTAAGGTGACCAAACTTTTGCACATGTCACAGTCACAATTTTTATTTGTTATATTATTAAGTTCAAAATTAAAAGATAACAGTGCAATAACCTTTGAAGACAGGCTTGTTTTAATTCCCTTCTTTTAAGTATAAAATATCAACTCAATGTGCTATTTCCCAGAGATTTGCTGGTATTTACATGGTCAGACCTTGAAATATTGAAATGTTTTGTTTCCCGCAAATGTAATTTGTGTTAAGGCACTGTGATATTTCAAGATTAAACAAGTAATAATTGATTCCATTGCTGTAAATGGTAAATGGACTGATTCTTATATGGCACTTTTCTACTCTCCTGGAGTACTCAAAGCACTTTATACAACATAAAGCCACATGTGGTCTCAGCCACATTTGCACATGAGGCTGTGAAACACAAAGATTCATCCTGACACAAGAGAACTTCAGAAGTCATCCGCAACAACGGGAGAAAGTCCCAGAAGGATTACAATCTCAGGAGCAGTCCATAATTCAAGTGTGTATGGTAGAGCAGACACCTGCAAGTGTGACTAAAATATGATCACAAAACAACAAAAATATGCACGTTCTATATATAAAGTCAAACACGGAGAGTTCCTGCACAAGTGCAGTGATTTTGACTGGATGGCTGATATAGTTTTGAAACAAACCTCCTCATTCTTCATGCAGAGCATGAAAACACCTGCTCTCCTCTTTGTGACATGACACGCGCTAAAGCAAATCTGATTAATTTCTGACTCTAATGGAAACAATAAAAATTTTAATCTGTGCAGCCTTTTCCTTTACCATAAATGTATGTACACAGGAAACACACAGACCTCTTGCCTTGCAACTCCTCCCACGTGGCCCTACTAAGCCAATCAAATGCTTTATTTAGAGCACGTGTGAAAATGGAAAACTATTGTTGGACTGTAACTTCTTTGTTTTATTTGACAGCCAGTTGATTACCATGTGCAGACACGGATTCAATTCTTAGGCTACTATAAAATACATTGCATTGGATTCCTATCTGCATGTGAGTTAGTAGCCCCAATGAATAATTATAATTCAGTTTCATGCACTGCAGACAACCCCAGAGTGATGCATGAATTCATGCAAAATGATAGTATGTTTATTAACACGCAAACAACTAAAGATCTGACAGAAATGTTTTCTTACATGTCAGCTGTTACACACACAGGAAGGAATAGTTTGTAATAAGGCAACTCCCTGGATATCTTGATGCATACTCAATCATCCAGGTGAATCCAGAAAGGTTGATTCTGTTCATCTGGATGTTTTCAGTGGGAGAAACGTTTGGTCAATCATCCAAGCGTATACTTCAGTCAATGTTTTTCCCACTGAAAATGCTACGTCCAGATGAACAGAATCAACCTTTTGGAACTCCCTGGATAAGTCCAGGAGTCCACCCAAGTCTCAGTTCTCAGGACCACGCAGTCTCCACTAATTCTTGTCAGAGGATTTCACCCTTATATTATAAAAATGGAACGTGGCGTCAGAGAACCTCCACTATTCATTAAATCAAACTTCAGACTCCCAACCAGTTGATTCATTGAGTAATGATTCCACATTTTCCTCAAATTATATACCCCTTCCCATGTAAATTATTCATTTGTTTCCAGAGTCAGTATTGTATCACAGCTGATTTTCCCTGCTGTGTCAGTAGTTTTGTTAATGTTACTAAACATCCAGGAGGTATCCAGGGCTGTTTACAGGACTTTTGAAATGGAGTGGCATAAAGGGCCCAAGAACACTTTTGCAAAGTGTTAATTTAAGGTTTGGTGGTGATGGTGGGAGGGGTCAGTGGCACCCTAGTTCTCACTCCAGACACACCCCTGCTTCTCCCTGAGCACCACTCATGTAGATGAAAACTAGCTTGTAGCTTGGTGTTTCCTTAAAATCGCGATTCGCTGACTAAACACACATTTCGTATTTCCATCAATATGTGACTGTGTAATCTCAGAAAATACCCGTTTTGCTTGGCACGGCTCTAACGACCACGGGACGGGGGAGTTCGAGGATGAAGGGACGTGTTGCGCATGCGCCGTGATCAACATCAACATCACGGAGAGAAAGGTGATGGCGGATGATGGAAGGGAAGAGTCGCTGGGGACTGACGATGATTCAGACCAAACGGGAGCGGATGGCAGCTTGAACAACACTGTGAGACCGTAGCTTCTCTTTATCCCGGTTGACCTGCTCATTTGTTTCGTTTTTATTTGTCATTGCGCGTTATTTACGCTACATGGCATTTAGCGTTGACCTAAAGCTCAGGGCAGAGGCTCCTTACATACAGTCTAGCACATGCAGGACCATACACGTCAGCATATCACTGTGCTCAGTAATGTTTTTACTTTTGCGTTTAACTCATTTTGCGGATATTACCATGTTAATTTGGGTATAAAAGCGGATCGCGTGCGTCATATAAACAGCTGTTAGCGTAGGGAGGAGCATGGAGCTGATGGATGATCGAGCTGCGCATGTTTTAGAGACAGCTGAAGGAAAACACAAGGTTGGAGTTGTGCATGTTCCTGGGATGCAGCGCAGTCAGAGTAGTTGTTCACCCTACGAGTCAACAAACACGAATTACTATGTGAGAGTCACTGAGTCTGTTTAAAACGTTTTTGCCTTTCATTTAAGGAACTTAATGGAATCAATTTGTCTACCTGTGTCAGGGATACACTCCATCATCCATCCATTTTCTTCATTAATTGTCCAATTCATGGCTGGAGCATAACCCAGCTGGCTTAGGTGGGGTGCACGTCATGCATATTCAGAACATGTGACAATATCTGTGTAAAAAATAAAACTCCAGCTGTCACTTCCTCTTTGCTTTTGGTTCCTGCTCCTACCAACTCTTCGTAATTAAATTTACACCAAAAGATTTTAGTGGTATCAACTCATTCATATTTGTCATTGTAAAGAACATCAGGTGTTGAAGGATAAAACACCATACCCGTCTGAGGCTTTGTTGTTTCGCTGACTAATGTTACCTCAGCTTTTCTCACTGACTTCTGTGTTTCTTGGTTTAAGTGTTAGGGCCAAATCATGTGTTCTTTTGTTGTGTCGACTCAGATGGTGGAAGAGGGCTCGACCCTCATGCGCAGGATGGAGATCTGCGTAGCTGAGGCCGAGAAGAGGAGCGGCAAAAATGCAGTGAGCATGCAGGAGACGTTCACTGTGTACCTGATCGAAACAAGGTGAGCACCGCATGCTGTTTGCCTCTTTGGTATGAAAGGAAGTTCTGTGGGTTAAGCTGTGAGGTTTTCACACTGTATATATTTTATCTGTAATTCCTCTTGTGATGTTGCATGAATTGCATCTATTGGCTCAGCAAAAACAGAACAAAATTCTACTGTGGTCCATTCTTTAAAGGCCAATGGATGCAGTCGCTGAAGGCCATAACCCAGCCCCCGACTGCCTGTGGAGGAGGTACAGTGAGTTTGAACTGCTGCGGAACTACCTGATAGTTACCTATCCGTACATTGTGGTACCTCCTCTGCCTGAGAAGAGGGTGAGTCCAGTGTGACTTTGTTAAGTGTCTTTTAAGAAATATATAATCTAATATGACAACACAAGTGTAAGCACTTCCAGTTAACTCTGGCAATTGAAGGCTTAGTCAATATTGAGCTGAAAATCTTTGTCATTACTCATACAATGCATGACACATGATTAATACCATCATAACACTGACATATAATGATTTGTCATGTATTAATCTTTTTATTGCTGAATTTTAAAATGGGTCAAAATGCAACATTAAGTTGTAGAGTAATTTCTTTGTGAAGGATGTGATGTTTCCTCCAGACCGCCTTGGCCCTGCTCATTAATGTCACTAATGACTAGCATCCACTTAATAGCTCCCAGCACAACCCACACTCCAAAGCAGATTCCACAGTAGGACAGAAAAGCAAACAGTGACGTGGCGTCAAAGAGGATTTTTCTAGCGATAACGTTAGCAGTCAAACAAGCTAAGAGTAGCTAGCTAACTGCTACTGAATTAGCACTAGCTGCATTAGTTAGATGCAGCTAGTGCTAATTTATTTAATGAAGCATGTCTCACCAGAATATTTCATTCTTGCTTGTTAATGCTAACGTGCTTGACTTGGATGGAATGGTAAATGCACTGATTCTTCTACTGTCCCGGAGTACTCAAAGCGCTGTATACAACATGCCACATTCACCCAGTCACACAAGCACTGACTCTAAACTGAGTGCGGTTTAACCACATTCACACTCTGATGGATGCATCAGAGAGCAACTTGGGGTTAGTATCTTGCCCAAGACTGGAGGAGCAGGGATTGAACCACGAACCTTTGGATCAGTAGGTGACCTGCTCTACCGCCTGAGCTACAACTTGAATGGAGTGATCTTTTAGATAAGGGGGGTTTCTTTATATATGTAAGCAGAAGCCTAGTGTCAAAAACAAATGCGTGTGTGAATAGGTCGAGTGAAAATGGTTGGTCTTCATGTATACAGGCAGAGTTTGTGTGGCACAAGCTGTCTGCAGACAACATGGACCCTGACTTTGTGGAGCGACGCAGGGTTGGACTCGAGAACTTTCTTCTTCGTGTGGCTTCTCATCCAGTCCTCTGCAATGACAAGATCCTCTGCTACTTCCTCACTGAGGTACATGGTGCGGCATCTGGGCAAATTCAGCTGATCTTTTATAGATGAACTCCTGAAGTGTAACTAACCTGTTCGTGTGTGTGTGTGTGTGTGTGTGTGTGTGTGTGTGTGTCAGGAGCATGGCTGGAAAGAAGCGGTGTACGAGACAGGATTTCAGGCAAAGGTACTGGACATTTGCGAGCATCTGTTGCTGAACTCGTACTAACAGTTGTGCAGATATTCTCAGTGTTCAGAAAGTGTAAATATCTCCTGGAACTCCTTTTGCAGGCTGATTCCAGGCTCAGGGCTCTCAGTGCCACCTTCAGAGTGAGGAATCCAGATAAGTAAGTTGCTGTTTTAATAAGAGACTTATTTTCTTTTTGTAAAAACATTTAATTTAAAGCATCAACACAGAAATAAGACAGACTCTGCCACCACTCAGCCAGAAGCCTAAACTAAATGTCCACAGACACGCAAACTAGTGTGTGTCTGTGGGTGTGCACAGACACACACTAGTTTGGACCTTCCTGCATGTTTAAGCCCAGTCTTTGATGATTTCTGAGATATTTTTAAGTAACCAATAAGGGATTTTCACATACAAAACAATAACATTCATTTTTATGACTAATGCAACGCAAAAAATTTTTCCCATTGCATTGAGCAAAGCACAGTGTCCACTGGCCAGGGAGCGAACGGCAGGGTATGACATACTCTCGCATGAGCAATAGAAATGCAGAATGACAGCAGTGTGCATGTGATGCATGTCAAGACCATGAGCGACTTCAAACCACGACGTAGTGCAGGCCGATCATCAGCTGCAAGATAAGCTTTAGGCTGTTTGTGCAACCTAGCAGTTCCCACAGTGCACGCCACTTTGTGTGCGGAAGGACCTTTAGGCACTTGGTGGTCATTTGCATCGATGTTGTTCTTCGTAAGGAGCTGATCAAACAAAATAAAAATATGAATCTTGTGTAAATGTGTCTCTCTTCTTTTATCACTCAGATGCTTCATGGAGATGAAGCATTACAGCGATGAGCTGCAGTCTCACACATCTCAGCTGCTCCGAGCACGAGCAGTAAGTCTCACTTTTGCCTGTCTCACACACACACACACACACACACACACACACACACACACACACACACACACACACACACACACACACACACGTGCTCCTGAATCTTTTGCCCCTTGGAAATATCTGAAGCCAGTTCTAAACACAACAGTGACATCTTCATCATCCAGCCTCAGACATGATGAGGGGAACTTGTTTTCAAAGATTTACATTGTGATTACAGCTGCTTAGAAATCAATGAGTCACTTATACTGAACTTCAAAAATAACAGTGAAAGTTCGTCCTTAACCTCAGGAACATTAAGGTTAACAAACATCCTTCTGTGTGTCTCTTGTAGAGGGTTGCTGACCGACTGTACGGTGTTTTTAAAGTTCATGGAAACTATGGACGAGTCTTCAGGTTTGACAAGTTTATTGTGCGTCTGCAAGGCTAAAAAAATGTACTGATCGTTAATTTGTTCAAGTTTCATTGCCTAATTTCTCATTCTCTCAGTTGGTTTTAATACAAATCCTGAGTTTTAGCTTCACAAGCTGCACCATCTGTCCTTATATCCTCAAACTGGAGCCAATTTGGGGTTTTAACTAAACAATCTACTGGCAATGTTTACTTGAGTATATGTAGAACGCATGTTCACATTATGTATGTTTTTGTCTTCTTTGTTCCTGTGTGAAGCCGAGTGGCAGAGGCGTTTTTGGATGATAGCATGGTTCTGTTGCGCTGTCACACATAGTGTGGGCCAGTTTGCAGTGTAGAGATGAATGGCTCTAACGATGTATCTGTGAATAACAGACTCTTCTAACCCTGCTCACGTGCCGTTTTGTGTTAAGTAAAAGGAAAGAAAACGTCATTTTTAAGATACTGTGTTGTCAGATGTTGCACTGGGTGGCGTACTGTTTATACTTATGTGTGCACATCCATGTCTTCACTGCAGTGAGTGGAGTGCCATTGAAAAAGAGATGGGAGATGGACTGCAAAGTGCGGGTCATCATATGGATGCGTACGTTTCCCTGACATAGATTTACCACATAGTGCTACAGATGTTACCACCAGCTGTGTTTCTGCTGAAGTGAGATCTTGTGTTTTGTCACATGGTTGCAGATATGCTGCTTCAATAGATGATATCCTAGAAGAGGAGGAACACTATGCAGACCAGCTGAAAGAATATCTTTTCTATGCCGAAGCTCTGAGGTAAGACCAAACTGCGACACCGAGCGATTTTCCAGCAGCTGCTCCGTGTTAGCCTGTTTTACCCATTCCAAAGCCAGTTTCAGTATTTGTTAGGAATCATTGTTGGAGTATCCAGTTGTGCACAAGTTGCAATGATTTAGCTGTTGATCTGTAATAAAGTTGAAGAATTTAAGGTGTTCCTTCTTCGTTATTCCGTCTACTTTGTACCAGTACCACAGCTCCACAGCACAATGCTAACACCGCTGCTCTTTACAGCTGCCAGTGTTTTAGGTCTGAAAGCCTCACCTTTGCTCCTCCAAACATCCCTCCTGTCATTGTGGCCAAATAGCTCAGTCTTTGTCTTGTTTAACCAGAGAACATTTCTCCACGAGGCATCTGGCATGTCCACATGGGCAGCGGGACATTTCAGTCAGGTTTGAAGATCTTTGAACTAGAGCTGGGCGATATAAGATTTTTTCATATCACGATATGTTTTTTTCATTTCAGGCGATAACGATATCTATCACGATATAAGCCAAATAACTATATTTGTAAGATTTAAATGTGCCGTTGCTCACAAGTAAAATGTGAAATAATCAGCAGCTTGTTTTTATTTAAATATTTATTTCCCATAATAAGTTCAACAGGGTAGATGTACTTAAGGAACATGAGACTTTTTCAGATAAATAAAGGCAAATATTGCAAACTACACAAAAGGCAGCCGCTAAAGCGTTTAAGTTTCAAAATAGAACAAACGAAACAGACTAAATTGTCAATTCCACTTAGAAACAAAATATTAATTCTAAAAATAAATCTTAGTTTGTTTTACAGAAGAACAGACAAAACTGACTAACTTTTGTCAATATCAAATAAACTGAGAACTAAAAGGAAATTCTCAATCTCTCCTTGTTGTATAGCTGAGCTTTTCAAACAGTTTTAACAGTTACTTTAGTCTGACAAAAGCCGAATGACGAATTAGCGCTTCCAGTCAGAGACTGAGGCTACGTCCACACGTACACGGGTATTTTTGAAAACGGAGATTTTCCGTTTTCGTTTTAAAAAATAATCCCGTCCACACATAAAGGCAGAAATGAAGGAAAACGCTGCTATGAACATGCCAAAGCAGCAGGTGGCGCTAGATTCCTAACCGTGCAGAAATGTTGGCCAATCAGAAGTCTAGAAGCCTCGGTGGGAAAAAGTAAACAAAGCTGGGGCATAGAAGCAGAACCGAGTCGTATGTGTGGAGGGACAGTAACTGTGTGTATATGTAAGCATTTAAACACTGCAGAGAGTAGAATTAACAGTAACAGTATTGTAGAAATTCATTTCACCGAAACAATAACGTGGCGCACAGTGTGACGCATGCACCAGTTTATTGTATTTCCAGACTTGCTTTCGGCACAATTTACAGTGCACGCTACTCTGTTTTTTGTCAGACTTGAAATAGCCGAAATACCTTCACACTACGGAACTTCTATGGCTCTTCCGTTCGACAATCTCTCCGGCGTTGGAACCATCATCTGTTTTCTCTTCGGTCACGCTCGGTTGATTTTTCTAGTCGGCACACTCATTTCCTCCATTACCCGCTGGCTGCTTCCCAAACAAACACACGTGCGGCTTGGCACTTGTGCTGTACGTAACAAGTCACGCGACGTGACGCTGCGGCTGTGATTGGTTCGGCTCTGCGCTACTTAATTTGGATTGGCTGACCTTTTTTTTTTTTTTTTTTTAGAGGACAAGAGCGGCGAGGTCTATCGCGATAGTTTAATTTCTCTATCGAGTAAAAGTTATATCGCGATACATATCGTTATCGTTCTATCGCCCAGCTCTACTTTAACTCAATGTTGGTAGCAGTTGTTGAGTTCCTATTCTTAGATTTTTTCTCAGTCCTTGGATTGAATGGTAAATGGCCTGTATTTGTATAGCGCTTTACTAGTCCCTAAGGACCCCAAAGCGCTTTACATATCCAGTCATCCACCCATTCACACACACATTCACACACTGGTGATGGCAGCTACATTGTAGCCACAGCCACCCTGGGGCTGCCAAAACAATGATATGTTTTATATATATGCTATTCTAACATGTTGATGTGCACGTGTAGAGTTTTAAAATCAGAGTCTTACAGTCTAATGGCCACAGTTGGAGCTGGGCGATAGAACGATAACGATATGTGTTGCGAAATAACTTTTTCTCGATAGAAAAATTAAACTATTGCGATAGGCCTCACCGCTCTTGTCCTCTTAAAAAAAAAAAAAGAACAGCCAATCCAAATTACGTAGCGCAGAGCCGAACCAATCACAGCCGCAGCGTCACGTCACGTGACTTGTTACGTACAGCACAAGTGCCAAGCCGCACATGTGTATTTGTTTGGGAAGCAGCCAGCCGCCGTACCGCCCGGGTAATGGAGGAAATGAGTGTGCCGACTAGAAAAATCAACCGAGCGTGACCGAAGGTTACCGAAGAGAAAACAGATGATGGTTCCAACGCCGGAGAGATTGTCGAACGGAAGAGCCACAGAAGCTCCGTAGTGTGAAGGTATTTCTGCTATTTCAAGTCTGACAAAAACAGAAGCTGCACTGTAAATGTGCCGAAAGCAAGTCTGGAAATACAATAAACTGGTGCAGCTCAGTCTCTGACTGGAAGCGCTGATTCGTCATTCGGCTTTTGTCAGACTAAAGTAACTGTTACAACTGTTTGAAAAGCTCAGCTATACAACAAGGAGAGATCGAGAATTTCCTTTTAGTTCTCAGTTTATTTGATATTGACAAAAGTTAGTCAGTTTTGTCTGTTCTTCTGTAAAACAAACTAAGATTTATTTTTAGAATTAATATTTTGTTTCTAAGTGGAATTGACAATTTAGTCTGTTTCGTTTGTTCTATTTTGAAACTTAAACGCTTTAGCGGCTGCCTTTTGTGTAGTTTGCAATATTTGCCTTTATTTATCTGAAAAAGTCTCATGTTCCTTAAGTACATCTACCCTGTTGAACTTATTATGGGAAATAAATATTTAAATAAAAACAAGCTGCTGATTATTTCACATTTTACTTGTGAGCAACGGCACATTTAAATCTTACAAATATAGTTATTTGGCTTATATCGTGATAGATATCGTTATCGCCTGAAATGAAAAAAACATATATCGCCCAGCTCTACCGCAGGTAAAAAGGCTCTCCTCTGTGGGCCAATGAGCCTTTTACTGCGTAGGCTGTGGTGATGGATTCTCCATGATGCTGAAGAGTAGCATGTGTCACATATGTCTATGTATCTCTCCTCTTTTTCGTTCCTCTACAATGCCAAAGGCTCCTGTTTGAACATGCAGCATGTAGTTCATGATGCATTCTTGTGTATTTCGCTCTGGCAGGGCAGTGTGCAGGAAACATGAGCTGACCCAGTTTGAGCTGGAGATGGCCTCGCAGGATCTCATCTCGAAGAAGCAGCAGCGTGAAGAGCTGGCTACAGGGGTACACTGCTCATGTTCTACATGTATTCCTTTTCCTTGCCTGTTAACACTTACACACGGCTACATAGGAAACATATAAGGAATCCTTCACATTGCAGATGTGTGATTTACCTATCTGTGAATTAAAGGCAGAACAAGATGGTGAGCTTTTGGGACTGTGTTATGTCTTTAACTTTTGGACCAAGCGCAGAGCTTGGAAACTTCAGGTTTATCGCTGAGTTTGTATACCTGGGTAAATCCAAGCAGACCAGTCTGAAGCTGTGGACTCCCAGTAGGTTCCCAGTTTGCTGAACCATAATTTCCCCAGTACAGGACAGAGCCAAAGCTTTGTCACTGTGCTTTGAGCATCCATCTCTGCTTTTTACACACTCATTCTGATAGAAACTTGTCATTCCAAGTAACTGAACACCCATCAGCTGCAGGATAAGACGTGCTTATAGGAAACTGCATGCCAGAAACCTGATCCATGAAAATACTGACGCTCTTCAGTTGCACTTGAGCAAAGATTAAAATGTTAAAGATTCAGAGTTTGAGGAGGATCTAGTTTTAGGAGACAACTGCAATTTTCAGTGCTGTCCCTTCTCCCCTTCACCTCCTCAGATCGTGCGGACATTCTCCTTCAAAGGCATGACCAACAAGCTTTTTGGACAAGAAGCACCTGAGCAGAGGGAGGCCAGGCTGAAGCTGCTGGAGGATCTGATAGCAGAGGGTGAAGAGACTGTCAAGGAGAAAACGATTGAGCGCGCGTGAGTGTTGAAAGCTGCCTGGTGTGGGAAGGTTTTGGGTAAAAGCAGTTGGAAATGTTTCGAGATCGACGCGGATTTAAAGATGATATATCTTTGACTGCAGAGAGCACGTGGAAAAGGCCTGGGTGGATATCCAGCGCTTCAAGGAGCAGAAAGACAAAGACCTACGGGAAGCTCTCATCAACTACGCTGTCATGCAGATCAGCATGTGCAAGAAGGTACGTCGCACATCAGTTAGCTAAGGTTGAAAGGAAAACTGGCACTCAAGTTTACTGGATGATTTTGTTTCTGCTCCCTAACTGCAGGGAATCCAGGTTTGGAGCAATGCCAAGGAATGTTTCCTCAAGATGTGAGGCTGAGGAAATATCCCGAAGATTTTCTCCCTCTAGGATGATTCTGGGAAAACGACGCCAGGCGGTGGATCATTCAAAGACCTGAACACTGGAGTGTAATATTCCCAGACTTAACTGAGACGTTTTTCTAACTTTAAACTGGTGCTTTGCTTCTTTCAGTTTTTAAAGCTGGATAACTGCTGATGGGATGAGTGAGTATGCTTTGGGGCAGATAAAGTCATGTTTGGCAAAGAAATGTAAGAATACGTGGTGTTTAGATCCACACATAAACCTTGGTGGAATCTCAGGCACCTTTGTTTTATCCACTTTATGAGTTCAAATTCTGCATTGGACCATCCCATAGGTTTGATTTATGTTGAAACCTTTCAACTGAACCAAAGTGCAGTTTGTTTCATTTTTGTGAAAGTAAAGTAGCATAAACATAGTGAAACGATAAAGTAACTTCACCTGATAACTGATGATTCCAAACCTTCCCCTGGATTTTGTGCCTTTTGAAGCATTTTTAATGTTTGTGTGACACAGACTGAGGTTGGATGAGTGAAATACAAGAATATTATTGATGTGCTTTTAATCACTAACGAGCAGCTGTGTCTTTATGTAGCGCTTTTGCAGTTAATGAATGCAGCCTGCTAACTAAGCTTGCTACTCGTAGTTGCAGCATTCCTCGCATTCCAGTCTCTCTTTTTTCTCCGTTTTTCTACATGGAAGCAGAAAAACATCAAAATCAGTTGATTTTATCTACAGTCTTGAATAAATGTTTACAGGGATGTGTATTTTGCCATGTGGAATAATAAAACTACAGCTCACACTGCTAAAGTTGCCTTTCCATCATGTCAGACATTCCTGTCATATATCTCTCATTATATCTCAGTGGGGACCAGTGCTACCAGGCAACAGTGTGTCATGTTTTTTCTTGGTCTGAACCAACTGAACTACACGTGTGAAGGGAGCTGATTGGTCAGAATATTGAGGTTATATAAAGCACATGTATTGGACTAATGAAGCCAGAGTCCATGTTGTACTGTACAAATACAAAATGTTAATTTTAAAACAACCAAAGTCACATTACGTTTTCTCTTGCTCTGTCTGTAAAAGGAAGAGGCTGCAGGATGTTGAAGTAGCGACAACACATACGTGCTTAACAATTTATTAGACCACCACCCAATGTGAGGTGTGTGCCACAGCTAACGGGTAGATTAACGACTAATTACCGAAATCCTTTTTAGATTTCTGCTATGGTTAATGCACACGTATGCACAAGCTCTTTAACTGAAACAATCGTTTTTAATGCTGATATATTTTTTTTTTTCCATGAAATTTTAAACTAATATTTTTTTCCAAAAGAACAACCAAAAAAATGTTAAATACTAAAATTGTCAACTAATTTTTTGACAATGCAAAATTGCAGTTATTCACTTTTGTTCCTTAACAGAAAAAATGTTTTATTGTTTGAATTTGATGCTTAATACATTTGTACGTTCCTGCGCTGGCTCAAATTTATGACAGGTCTAATAAATGTGTTGAGCTCTGTATGATATCCCTCTGGGATCAATAAAGTCTCTCTGATTCTGATCTAACGATATCTTTGACTGAAACTCTCTGAAGGTTTTCTCTTTTGTTATTTAAACGACATGTGATTTGTTGGAAATGCTTGCCAGCACTAAAAGCTTTGTGAGTGCGATGTTTCCTTTTGAAGCTGAGTGAAGGTGTAGCCCCTGTTTGGTCTGTTTGAATAAAAAGGGTTGACACTGCAAACTGTATCTTTGTTCATTTTGATGGTTTAAATCATTTTTGGTGATGGTGCTGGCGACTGTGAGCAGAACTGTTTTGTCATCGGCATCATATCAAAGCCAATTTACCAGCACAGTTCCACTTCCTGTGAATCCCATTGTACAAAAATCCCAGTTGTACAATTGGCTGCAATGCAAACAGCTAAAACAATAATTTGCCCTTGTATATAGGCTAAGAGTTGACATTTGATATTAGTTTTTCACAAATACACTATCAAAAATACACGAGGACTGAAAACAATACTTTTGTCCTACAATGCCTGTAATGTGTTTTTGTTTGTTTATGTTTTTACAAATAATCATAGAACATAAAACACTAACATTTAGCTAATGCATGCAGACTGTTCAGTTGAGATGCCTTTCACCTGGGCACATAAACCACATAGAATTGTAAAGGCACAGTTACAGAAACCCACCTCAGAGGGCGGATTAGGCCTCCCAGTTTTCAGGAATGTTATTGGGCTTGCAATGCCAGAACGTGGGTTTTCTGGAATAATGCTTCAGCTGTTCCTGCGGTTCAGAAGGGATGCGGTCCTTCCTGGCCTTTTATAGAGGCGCACATACCTGAATCCATTTTTAGTACATCGCTTGATGCTATTCTGTTTTCTAAACCTACCGTACCTACCAAACTTCAGAGTAAAGATTTTGTCCTTGGTCACTCAGTCAGGATCTTAAAGCAAGTTAGGGATGCTCTGTGCCTTCCAGACCTATCATTTTTTACCCCCGTAACTTAAAACCTTTCTCTTTCACTTGGCTTGATGGACCCCGTGTATAAGCATTGGTCAGATTTAGGTCTTCACACTATTAAGCACCTCTACATCGACAATAGTTTGCTTCATTTGCTCAGCAGCAATCAAATTTATGCTCCCCTCTGCTCATTTATTTCAACACTTACAAATCAGGAACTTATCAGGAATTTTGTTAAACAGTCTTTCTCCCATCTGGATCAGCCCCCTGCTCATAGTGACTTTTATTATCATTATTATTACCTAATCAGCCAGTTTACTACACATTGTACACTTACAGCACCACAGCAGAGATGCTTGGTTAAGGACATGGAAGCAGAGATATTGGACGCTTGATGGGCCAATGAAATGCCAGATTACAACTTACATTATATGTTAAATATGTTTAACATATATAACCTGATTTATGGCTTAAGAGTAAAGCCAGATAGTATAATTGCAGTGCTAGGCTGCTCCCTAACCTCACTGGCAGCTCTGCAGCACTATATACACATGAACAGTATTAACAGAGAGAAATTAAATAAAATGTACAAATATACAAACTGGTGTTAAAAAAAAAGTAAATATGTAATAAATAGTGTTATGTATATACAGTTGGGTTATTGCACATAGAATATGGTATTGCACAGTGGTGGTTCATAGAGGGAAATGTGTTATTGGTGCATGTGTGAGTTCAGGGTGGTTATAGCCTTTGGGAAGAAACTGTTCTTGCGTCTGTGGGTTTTTGTGCTGATGCACCTGTAGTGCTGTAGAAACTCTTCTGGACTCGGTGGATTCTGTTGCCCTGTCTAACAAACACAGAAGATCATCTTCTTCAGACTCTTGCATTTCTCCTGTACTTTTGATTTGGACTGACTAAGCTGTGTGGGGTTTGTTTGGTTGTTGTTTTTTAATTTCTTTCCTTTGTCTTGTGTGATTTGATGTAATTTTGAACTTAAGGTCTTATAAATAAACTTAAACATTCACTGTTCAATCCTTTGATATCCATGAATTTGAAACACTTCTTGAAGCTATTACATCAAACCGTGAATGCTTACACTGGGAACATTAAAGCAAAACTTTTCTGTCTTTTTTAAGGATGTTTCAAAACCAATATTTGCAGAAATAATGCAATTTGTTGTTGTTATTATTATTATTGGAGCTATTACAAATTATTAAACTGCTGCTGAAGCAGTTTTCATTGAATAAAAACTGAGCTGAGAGTGCTCCACCTGTCCACCCGGAGTCTGCTTCTGTCTTGGTGACACAGGTCTGTCAGTTTGGTTTAGGGATTTGATTCTGGCTTTGGGTGAGAGGGAGCCTGCTTTCAAATTCCATAGGAGACCATGTGGTCCTTAGTTAACTCTATGAAAATTTATGCAGTCCTTGTTTAGTTAGCAATTGATCCAGGTCTCATCAGTGTTTTACCTATGTTACCGGCAGCTGCTGTTCACTGATCACCTTATTTAGGGTCAAATGTGAGAAGAAGTTTCCAAAATACAAGAAAAAAATAATTCAAACAAATGAATTCTCAGTTAAAAGCTCTGTTACATCCAGTTTGGTGAGCAATATAGTGTTCTGATTCTTACAGTCCTACCTGAGAAGAAATGACCTGCTCTCATTATACAGAGTTGTAAGGAAGAGGACTCCCTTACTGTATTTATGTATATTATATGTATAGCACTTTGGAGCACACTGTTCACTTTATTAAAAGCACCTTATCAAGCACTTTATGAGCATTGCACTTTAAGCATGGATTTGCACACAAGAAGTTTAAATATTTATTGACTATTTATTGGGAATTTTAAAATCAGTTGGTGGCCTTGTTTCAGATCCTGCACAGCTGCTCCTCATCAAGGAATGTGGTGGTTGTCTGTCAGGAGAGAAGAATGGTGATTGAGATTGTGATTAAGGTTTACCAATAAGGAAAACTAATGAAAGTGTGTGTGAAATCTAGGGATAAAAGTGTTGCAAATAAGTGTTTGTAAGTTAATGATTACTCACCTTTCTTGCCTGTCCTCTTCAAGGTGTTTGGGCAAATGTTTCCCTGGGGGTCCAGACACCATTTAAAGGTTCCGGGAGAGACCATTGGTAAAGAGAGTGTGGTGAATCTTTTTGTGCTCGGGTTTCTGGGTTTTTATAATATTGGGTTTGGTGTAACATTAAAGTGTGAAGTACTTATTAATATGTAAATGTGAAAATGTATTTATGTATTTATTTATTCTTATTGATATATTGTATACTGTGGTGGAAGGTTGGGATTTAAGAATTTACCTGAGAGTGGAATAATGGTTTAGTCTGTGACAGCTGAACATATTTAAAGCTGCCAGTTGTCATTAGAGCGTGGATTTTTTGTGCTGTGAAGAAGCTCGACAAGTTAATTGTTGTAAGGAGAGCCGTATAGCGAATAAATACGTTGTTCCACTACACTTGCCTTGGTCTGTCTCACTGTGTTTCCAGCCGCTAAGGGCTGCCCTGTTACAAGAGTGAACAAATAAAAGAAACAATGAGACCTCTCATCCAAGAGGCTTCTTCAGTTCTAAAAGCAAAGGGCTGCTTTTTTAACACTAACAGGAGTTATCCCTTAAAGAAGTCCCATCATTTTTCTGTACAATGACCTGACTACTAAGAACAAACAGACAGCATCTACTATCTTTTAGGAACTACTGGGATTTGAGCCCAGGACCTCCTGCTTACTATATTGCTTTCTAGGATGGCACTTTAACCAACTTAGCCACAGTGCAACCTAACCTCCCACAAAGATACGTAGCTAATCAACACTGAGAAATCAGGTATGTAAAAGCTCTGCGCTACAACCAGATCATCAGGATAACAGTCTGGTGAGGAGTAGTGGTGGAGACCAAGAGTGCATGCCAAAAGTACCTATGATCTCCAATTCCTAACCTCTTTGAAAAGTTGGTAGGGCATTTGTTAAGGACGTAAGAAAAGGGAAGAGACATTCAGTGAGCTAACTTTAATCTGAGTTTAGTTAATCTAGAGTTTAGCTCCTAAATGAGGTTTTCTGTTGCTCTCCTCGGTGTCGGTTCTCAAGCTTTTTGTGAACCCTTTGGGAAAAAAAACATCTGACTACATCGACTCAAGCTGCTTTAAAGTAATTGACAGAAAGATATCAGCAAAAGCTAATGAAACACAGAGAAGGAAACAATTTTGTTATTAGAAGAAAGCTTTTAAATGAGCTAATTGTAGAGTTTCTTTTATTTTATTAGTCTGTTACTAAGCGCTAATTAGCAGCTCTGTGTTGCACCTGCAAAGTGCTAGCTAGCTTGCACTTTGGGGGAATCTGTCCATTCCCCCACAGCTCAGGTGGGGGAATGGACAGATTCCCCCACCTGAGCTGTAGATCTCTGCAGCTCGTCCAGAGTCACCATGGGCCTCTTGGCTGCATTTCTGATCAGCGCTCTCCTTGTTCGGCCTGTGAGTTTAGGTGGACGGCCTTGTCTTGGTAGGTTTACAGTTGTGCCATACTCCTTCCATTTCTGAATGATGGCTTGAACAGTGCTCCGTGGGATGTTCAAGGCTTGGGAAATCTTTTTGTAGCCTAAGCCTGCTTTAAATTTCTCAATAACTTTATCCCTGACCTGTCTGGTGTGTTCGTTGGACTTCATGGTGTTGTTGCTCCCAATATTCTCTTAGACAACCTCTGAGGCCGTCACAGAGCAGCTGTATTTGTACTGACATTAGATTACACGCAGGTGCACTCTAGTCATTAGCACTCATCAGGCAACGTCCATGGGCAACTGACTGCACTGAGACCAAAGGGGCTGAATAATTACGCACACCCCACTTTGCAGTTATTTATTTGTTACAAATGTTTGGAATCATGTATGATTTTTTGTTCCACTTCTCACGTGTGCACCACTTTGTGTTGGTCTTTCATCTGGAATTCCAATAAAACTGATTCATGTTTGTGGCTGTAATGTGACAAAATGTGGGAAAGTTCAAGGGGGCCGAATACTTTTGCAAGTCTCTGTATTGTGTTGTTGTGGTCTTCATAAATAGTAGTACAGAAAAGCTTCAGCTTACCTGTTGGTTGTCCTTCACCTCTCTGTCGCCCCCTCTTTCATGTACAGCCTCTACGCTGCTGTATCCATGTTCAAACCTGCCTGCCTCACTCCTCACCTCACTGCCATAATAACTGTCATGCTGTATGCCCTGAAGTCCAGTGAAGGCATCATGGTAGAAATTATTGCTGTAGTGCTTGTGTTTGAAATATTCCCAG